GAGCAGTGACAACTAGCGCTCTTAGCGGACGGTATGAAACACAATCTGGTTCCGGTTCCGGTCAAGTTAGTTTCGGTTTCGGTTTGGGCATTTTTGTTTCGGTTTTTTGGTACCCTTCTCCTTCTCTTTTTCTCTCTTTCTTTCCTTCTCGCCTCCCTCCTCGCTAGGCTCTCGGGAGCTCCTTGGCCCCGGAGCCGATGATTCGTTTTTTTGTTGTTGTTTTTATGTTATAAGTTTTGCAATATACGATATAAGTTTCGCAAAATGTGTAATGTGTCGAATAAAAGTTCAACTTATTGAACACATTGAAGTACATAATCGCCACATTGACTCCTGGCTGGTGGAGCATTTTGGGAGGTTTTGGGGTCAACAACAGTAAGTGGTTTGAAAACATTTTATTGGACCACATTCATATGTACATTATTTACTTCAGAAGCTCTGTATGTTTTATAAGAAATAGATAATCACAAAAATAAACGAGTATGAAGGAGTTCGGCATATCGTACACTTCGTAATAGATTTTTAGCGGAGTCAAGTTTACAAAAGCTTTCCACAGGGAACATGCTGAATGATCCATTCACCTTCACGCCGACTCGGGCACGGTAAGTAAGTGCAGAAATAAACAAGACATCGCTATCATTACCAGGCGAAGCACACACCGGATAGTACAAATTCCAAATTACCGGCTAATATAAAACACACGAAATGGCATAGCCTGAAACTCGCTGCGGGTGAGCCATTACAAAAAAAAAACAAAAAAACAATGAGAACTCTATTCGGAATCTGACAAGATTCAACCATAGATATTCAACCATGAAGGCCCGTTCACACTCTTGCAACCGAGTACGACCGAGAGAGACCAGACCGGTTTTCAAGCCTCTTACGATCTCTTCGGACCAGCTCCGCTGCCTCGCGTCCGGTCCTAAGAAGTCGCTCTCAGTCGTACTCGGTCGCAAGAGTGTGAACGGGCCTTTATTCAACGTCCCTAAACATTCCCCGAAATACATTTGTTCAGGACAGGAGTATTACTTCAGAAAAAAAAAAAAAACGTCCAAAAAATATAGACGGGTACAGAAGTGGACACATTTTCTTCCAAACATCTATGCCTCTATAAACTATTTTCTATAGAAATTCTGCAGAAAGTGGATAAATATTTGTGTAAGGGGGCCGTGATACACATTTCCTGGAAATAAAGAAAACACATGTTTGGAGTGCAAGCTACACTGCCCAATTAATAAGCAATTTCTGTTTTTGATTTGGCAACCGCCTCTGTTAATACGCTATTAAGCTATTAACAGTTAAACTTATCAAGTTGCTTACTAGCAACCGAAGAGTGTAACCGACTTTGTCCAAGTTCCGGTTAAGGAACCGAACATGCCAACACAAGCGTATTCGGCAAAACATTTTTAAAAACCTTTTGTGACACTCCTCTGAGCAAAGGCTGAAACCACCAAGCTCTGAGAGTGTGTGATACAAGGCAGCACACACTCCTCGAACATGCGCTACACTCTCTATTACGGCAAGAAAGTGATTTTCTAGTTTCTGAATAAAGTTAAAGGCAGCCTGTGATGGTACTACTAGGTTTCCGAAGAGTTTCCCAGGCACGTGGTATGCTTTAAGCATAAGAAAATACTGGTGAGGCCTGGTCAAGTTGTCAGACTCATCCTTTAGCAGCTTAGAACAGCCAGGAACAGCCACAGCTGCGGGTTGTCTGTTCAAGGAAAAGTTTGATCAAATAGCCTCCAACGTAGTAAGTGCACGAGTCGTCAATTATATTAGACCTGATGTCTGATGCCAGCTCAGAAATATCTTCTAGTGGCGGGAAGTTATCAACTGGAAAACATTCCACATTGTCTGCAATGGAACTTTCATGGTGCGAAAATATTGGCAACTCCTTGAGGAGGTCAGCCTTTTCATCCTCTACATTTCCATTGTTAGAGAGTCTGAACAGTTTTTTTATCCCGATGTGTTTCAGTCCCGATGTGAACTGATTCACATTTGGGTTTGTATTGCAGCCCAGCATTTGTCTTATTGCCCCAAAAATGTTCTCCAGTGGGTCTTGCTGCAGGCGTCGAGTAAGTAAGAATTTAAAGTCATAGCTGTTTGAAAGCTTATCCCAGAGCATGAGGACACTCCTTATTGTAACTTGCCACCCTATGGTGGTTTGTGGCTGCCTCCTACTTTGGAACTTCCATGTTGAAATCCATGCGAGTTGTTGGTGAAGGAAATCGAGTATCTCAGATTCTCCTTTCAAAATTGCATGACGCAACTTCTGCCCCGTCTTCTTGAATTGCGAGCTATTTAAACAATCAAAAAGTCTGTCCATTCTATCACAAAAATAGGCTGTAGCCATGGCTGCCTCAGGAAGCTCCTTGGCATAAACAAGGGATAGAATGGCAAGACAGACTGAGGCACTCAGGACCTGTGTGGCACGCTTTACTTTCATGTTACTGAAAGGTTTTTGAAAAATGTGCCTCTCAGTAAGTTTTGGAGCCAATCGCAACCTCATCTCATGAGTAGAACGATAAAGTTCAACAATATGGGACCATTCAATGACCTCATCCCCAATGCAAAGTTTGTGGGCTTGGAGATTGTTTCTTGTTGTTTTGATGAGGTGCGGAACATCAAAGATAAAGTAAACACGTTCGTTGTCGACTTCAAAAAATGGCTTATCAGCAGATACACCAAGTTGGTTGGCTAAGCTTACGTTTGAAGCCCCCTGATCACAGACCACGGCCTTCACAGTGAAGTCAACAGTCTTAAGCTCTCGAATGAGAAAAATCAGGAGGCTCCGGATAACAGAAGGCGGTGTTGAAGTGTGCCCAACAGTGTATGCGAGGGGCTGAACCCACCTCCTGGAAATTCCAGAGAGCACAACAACCAGGGCTCTATCTGCAATGGTCGAGGTTCGTTCAACACCGTCATCTGTAAATCCATGGATAATGTCGTGTGCAGGGTCGTATGTCAAGTTCTTCTTCAAAACAATCTCATCAAAAATCAAGGTGCAGACACGATCACGTGCATTCCAAGACCGCGTTTGAGATTCGATGGAGGACATGACACCAGGTATAATACCAGGAGTCATTTTTACGTTCGACAGCCACCTACGCAGTGAACGCTGAGTGGGAAGCATTAAATGTAACGATAGAAAACGGTATGCCTGTGGGCCATGAAAGTTCAGATGCAAAGCAAACTTCTTGAGCCACAGTGAAAACCGTTTTCCTCGTCCCTTGCGCCCTAATTTTACATGTGACGAGATAAGTCCGAAAACCTCGTCTGTCACAAACGGACGCACCATTTCAAGTGCTTCGGCAGCTGTTTGAGGCATTTGCTTCTGTTGCTTGCGCAGTCTTGATATTGTCTTTCTGTAACTGGAAACCTTTGCTTGTAGGCGTTTTATGACGTCCCTGGGCCTCCTTGAGAGCTTGGCGGAAGCAGGTGTTGAACGACCAGAGCCTGCCAAAACAATACCGAAAGCACATAAGTCAGGCTACACAAAAATGATAAAAGTAGAACCCGACAGAAACGATACCGCCAAATACCGACCACTTACCCATGCTGCAATATGTGCCCCCTTCCCCCCCCCCCCCCCCCCCCCCCCGCCACTTTCGAAACGTTTGCGAAGTAAACAAAGCACGTATGAATGTCCAACTCCAGACTTAAAAACCCACCCACCTAACATAAATGCTCATCCGCTTCAGCTGCTTCTCCAAGCACACCAATGTAAAAGGTGAAGCTCGACACGTGCACGGGCCTCCAAAGTGGTGACCCCCCTTCCCCCCAACCTTTGGCTGTTCTGCAATTTTGCTTTCGGGCATAAGAAGCATACATCTCTGCGTTTTTCATGATTATCTCCAAATTGTGAGTGGGCATTTGCTCCGCATGTTCTGTTACCACTGTTTATACACAAATGGCTGCTATCAGAAAAAAAAAATTAAACTAGCTTTTAGTCTTTCAGCTGCAATAATTTCACCACAAAAACTGTATTAACATAAATTGATGAATCTTTCAAATATTGAATAATCGCGTAGTCAATCACTACATTCAACAGGGTCATCCAAAATGAGAACTGTATGTAACAGGATTGGCAAATTACTACAGTAAGCACAGATTACTAGGAAACCACCCCTTTTCAGAGCATTTCACGGTGCCACACTTCAAAGCTTATGTTCCCCGTCACCTAGAGCCCTGTAGTGATGTTCCAAGTTATTAAGGCCAGCACAAAAATGAAGTGACAAATAATGTCACCTAATTTGAAGCAATGTGCATACTAAATGCAGAGGTACTTAACACAATTTTGCAGTGCTTAAATCTGTAGAGAAGTCAATTTATACTCACAGGTTCCAGATGATTCAGAATAGCCAACAGACGAAGATGGAGTGCTGTGGTCCAAAAGCTGGCCAGGAGAGCTGGCCATCCCCATTTGCCCTAGAAAATGTGTCACTGTTAAATACGAATGTTTGCATAAACCCAATTTGTGCAGGAGATTTATTTTACCACAGGCCGCTATGGAATGTGACGCGCTGGTACCCTCCAGTGAAATACCACAGGGGCTTGTCGCCATCAGTTGTTCTGAAAAACGGTTGCTTGTCAGATATCAGCAGCTGTTTTAAAAGAAATGATCTCACCACGAGCAGCTGCCGAAGGTGACGTTCCACTGCCTTCCATTCGAACATCCCCGGGGCTTGGTTCCGCCATCGGCTTTTCTTAAAAGGGCTTCCTTGTCAGATATGAGCCGCTCATTTAAAATAAATAATCTCACCAGGAGCTGCTGTGGGATGCGACGTTCTGCTTCCCTCCAATGGAACGTCACAGGGACATGTCGCCACCGGTTCTTCTGACAAATGTTTGGTTGTCAGCTATGAGCAGCTGTTTTAAAAGAAATGATCTCACCATGAACAGCTGCCAAGGGTGACGTTCCGCTGCTTTCCATTGGAACATTCCCTGGGCTTGGTGCCGCCATCGGTCCTTCTGAACGACATTTGCTTGTCAGGTATGAGCCCCTGTTTTAAAATAAATGATCTCACCACGAGCAGCTGTTGAAGGTGACATTCCACTGCCCTCCAAGGGAACATTACCGGGGCTTGGTGCCGCCAGCGGTTGTTCTGAAAAACGGTTGCTTGTCAGATATGAGCAGCAGTTTTAAAAGAAATGATCTCACTATGAGCAGCTGCCAAAGGTGACGTTCCACTACCCTCCAATGGAACATTCCCGGGGCTTGGTGCCACCATCGGTCCTTCTGAAAGATGTTTGCTTGTCAGGTATGAGCCCCTGTTTTAAAATAAATGATCTCACCATGAGCAGCTGTTGAAGGCGACGTTCTGCTGCCCTCCAATCGAACAACCCCGGGGCTTGGTTCCGCTATTGGCTTTTCTGAAAAGGGCTTCCTTGTCAGATATGAGCCGCCAATTAAAAATAAATAATCTCACCATAAGCTGCTGTGGTATGCGACATTCTGTTTCCCTCCAATGGAACGTCACAGGGGCATGTTGTTGCCACCGGTTCTTCTGAAAAATTTTGGCTTCTCAGATATGAATACCTGCTTATAAAGCTTCTGATGGAGAATTCCTGCTACAGGCGAATGATAGGTTAGTAGTGTTACCTTTCAAAGGAACAGAAAATATTCAGCACTCTGAAAGGGCATTGAAATCCCTTAGTGATGAAAATTAATGTTGAGCAATATTAATCAATGGCGAAACACAGGATCCGGCGGGTCTTGAAAAGGCACTTAGGAATCTCGGAATATCTTAAATTTTAACGGCCCGGTATGCTAATGTATGAGAACATAACAGCATGGGCAACTAAAGCTAACCTTGTAAACATGAGTGTCAGGAAGATGACTCAGACGGCATGAGTATTCTTGTCGAATTGGATATGAACAGGGGAACGTTGACCTGCCTTATCTTTCATTTATATCACTATTGTATGCTACAAACCTAGGATGCCCTGTAAGAAGTCATACTGCACTGGCAGAACTGCCCTTCTTGATTGCAGGACACAAATTACTGTATTTCAATGCAGCTGACCTTGTGCTTTAAAACAATTTTCCAACAAACTGGGACGGATATTGGTTATGGGCAACAGTATGCGCAGGGACATTACAGGGATAATGTACAAAAATGCTAAATGAATTAGATAAAATATTTAAGCACAAACTAATGATAAAAACTAATTAAATCAGATTAAAACTTTTGAGACTGTCAAGCATCGTTGACAGCATGCTGGCAGCTGGCATCAGTGACGTAGAGTTGGTGCTGCCTAAAAGCAAAATATAACAGAACTCCGTACAGACTGCAAATAAAGATTATGTTACCTTGGGCTGTTACAGATGGCCTAAGCATTTGCGGCCGAACCGTAGGGATAGCCGTTTTGGTCAGCCTTGTCTTCCCAGGATCCAAAAAGTCCTTGGCTGTGAAATGCTCACTACACAGGCGATACCCCTCATAGAGCTCCTTGGCTGTCTTTCCTAGGAGCTCAGGACGTCTGGCGTACTGTAGCCATGCTTTTGACCTGCAGAACATTGTATATACCACCAAGGTTACACATACTGTAAGGGTCAAATAAACTCCAAATATATGAGCCTCAATTGTTTTTAATGTTTCACTGCCGTTTGGTATGGCACCTCTCAGCAAAGTGTTCACGTTCTGAAGAGTTTGTTTTTCTTCTTCATGCTACTGTACAGTGCAATACAGCTAAACAAACAGATTGCATACCCACCAGGGTATGCAATCAATTTAGGCCCGAGGCAAGATAACCTTAAAATGCTGAAAGATATTGGTGTCCATAAACCAAAGTGACATGGAAGAAATCGTTTTTGCTATAGTTTGTTGCAACCTAAGACCGAAGGGCGAGGGTAAGACGGGCCGGGGAGGAGGGAGCAGACGGAACGCTGGAGAAGAAAGGGGAAACCTCCTTCTCTCCTTAGCGTTTCGTGTTCCGTCTGCTTCCTCCTCCCCGGCCCGTCTTACCCTCGCCCTTCGTTCTTAGGTTGCAACGGACCATAGTTCTCATTTCAAAATGTTATGCTTCAATCAAATGTTGTAAGGACTGCCTTAGAATCTATACGTACCTTGGGTCACGTGGAATTCGAAAAAACTTGACATGTGGCTTCTTTGTTTTCCCATTGTTGGCACACCAGACCACGCAGCAGTAACTTCCGTAGGACATAATCTGGGCCAGCGGGGGAGGGAGAGTTTAACATCTACTGAAGCCTAGCCAATGGCGCGTTCCTTTAGTTCAACGGAAGGTAGCACAATAGCGGCTGGTGAAAAAATAAACTGATGGAGATTTAAACAATGTCACAAGATATTGCCATGACGCAATGTTACAATAAACCCATGACACGTATTAACACAGGCGGGTGAAAGAAATATTGTGAAGTTTGTGAAGTTTACGCAATCTTCATGCATCATAATCGAACGCAGTGTCTAGAGTGCCATGCCACAGCACTCCAACCAAGTGTTCAAGTGACGTCTGACTGGTTTTACCCAACGTTCGAATGTCATCCTTAAGAGTAAAACAGGAATTTAAGCATAGTACAGCGGTACGGCCAAAATAAGTAAGACTAATCTACCTCTACTGTTTCTGGTAAATTGGCCGTCAATATTTTGAATTTTGCTTTCTTACATAGAAAATAATGTCAGCGAACCATAGACCTAAATTTCGAGCTCCATTTGGTGATGTAGCGATGTAGTGGGAACCATGTTTGAATAGTCCTCCGTACATTCTCAGAGTGTCCGAAAGTTCCATGGATGTCCTATCCTGGATGTCCCGTGGACGTCCATAGGATATATATGCTGCTTGGGAACTTTATTAAATATCTAAATTTGATACCGCGTCTCGCAGTTTTTTCCCCCGAAATTCTATGCATGTGTTTGTCGTCGTAACTGCAGCATACTGCAGCTCGTATGGCGGTACACACAAGTCATGTAGCTCGCTTGAGCGACGTTCGCTGGTTCGCTTCTTTTGCACGTACTTTATGTGATAAATCAAAGCAGCGACGCGCCATTGAAAGAATGCATGTCAAAATATCAATATGACTCAATGGACACCTTGCCCCGAATTCGTCGCACTGCGAACGACTGTCGACCCAGTTTTAGTCAGTGAATTAACTTCAATCTATGACGGCATAAGTCCTCTCAACAGCAATCCACAGATGTCTGATGGCACTTGAACACGCATGAACAAAGCTCTGCCCGAGGGGCGTCGGACGGCAACCCAGACTCAGCAAATTCAAAAGCCAGCTTTACAACACAGTCGAGAGACAAATGAGCAAAACGACTTACCTTTTGTTTAAAAATCTAGGTCCAGGCAGCCCGACGGAAACACGAGAAGCTCAAGCCATATCAAGCCGCTCAGCTCTACAAACTCACGCCGAGCATGAGAGCACGCGGCGATCATTCGTCACTTTGTTTCAAGCAAAGTCGACCGAACACGCTGTAGCATAAAACGGAGAAGAACGGCACGGACGGCACGGACGGTACGGCACGGACGAACGAAGCACGGACCGCACGGACGAGCAGAGGTGACGGCGTGCAAGCAGACAGGCCATGGCAGGCGCCATTCATCACGTGGTTTTTGTGACGTATTTGATTAACACTATTTAGTCGTTTTAAGTACTTTAAAAAACTCTAAAGCATAAAAATTTAGAAAATAAATACTTTTCAGAGAGAAAGCTGTAATTAATATTAACCAAATCACGGAAAAGCGCCACGTAGCGGAGGGTATGAATCCTACTATCTGGGCCGCGAATCGGCTTCAGTGTCCTCTCTTTACGTTTACTATATTACTCTATGGTTTTAGGTCGGAACCTCCGAACCCCAGAAACGAAATACGCAACCCACGAGTGACGGAATTCGTATGGTTGTGTTCGCTTTGCGCGTGGTACGAAGCACAAATGCGTGATGCGGAAGGCGAAAGCCGCCAGACCAGTTCCCTGGGCGGCGTCTCGATGCCCGAGTGTTTTTGCACTTAGCGCGAGTATTTTAAGGCAGGTGGGTGCCTACCGGGAGTCTGTCACTGGAAACAGGGTGATGTCGTCGCAGCTAACGATACGTGTTCCGTCAGCCATGCGGTCACAAAGATGCAGTGTATACAACACCAGGCATGCTGTCTCCTGGAAAAATTCAGCTGAGCTTCGGAGCTAGGTGACAGCTCCGGTACTCTGAGGGAACGCACAGCGTGGAGTGTTCTTCGGGCAGACAGGTTTCATCAAACGCCCCGGTATCGGCTACAGCCGGTGTGGTGCTGGTTCAGGCAGTTGAAGAGGCAGTGCTTGGCCTTTTTTTAGCGTCAACTGAGGAAGCATCGGTGTTCTTTCGCTTTCTCTGGGGCCTTGGCTGCGACGCTTTCTTTGACAAGTAGCTCGGAGCATTCGGAAGCAGCGCCGGCACAGCGCCCGGAAAATAGCTGCGGCTTTCCACGGGGACTGCGCACCTCATCTCTGTTTATAATGTGAACGAAGTCTCGCGTTACAAACGATGGCTCTAAATGAAGCTCTCACATCGAACATATTTCGTCCATGAGTTATCGTTGCGATGCAAGTTCTGTCCCCAAACTTTTCTTGTTACTGAGAACTGCGACGCGTCTGCTCACCTTTCCGCCTTTGATAGCCTGACTGGCAACCCGGAGCGAAGCAGTGGTGTTGTCGTCGTCGGTTTGGCATCTAATTCGGCATGACACTTCATTGGCCACAAACGATAGCGGACACGGGGTAAAGGTCAGTTCAGAACGGGACCCACTTCGCGCTGCCATACCGCCAAACGGCCTAAACGCAAGCCAAAGCTGCTCGCCCAAGGCTTTCGAAACGCTCGGAACCGGTCGGATCCTCGAGCCCGTAACGATCGCAGCGCCGCCGCGTACATCCGGGACCTTTCTACGCTCGCCGCTTGTCAGTGCCTAATCGAGCTACCCCTATCTGGTATACGCCGCATTTTCCGCCACTTGGTGGCGGTTTTGTCGACGGGTCATTTCTTGTTTTCGTACTATATGAACTGCATTTATTCCTTTTCTCATCTAAAATACTGAACAAAATCAATTTTATAACTAATTGAAACGGTCTGCGCCACTTATATTTTGTATTTCGACTAAAAAAAGTAAAGCTTTTAGCGGCTTTGACTAGTCGGAAGGCAGAAGCTGACCAGGACCGACAACGTCACGATTTCGTCACATGCCGCGCGCGTTCGGCACCACGGGGCGCCCCCGTAGGAGGGGGACGTTTCCTTAAGATATGACACCCTGATATTGAGTTACTCTCTCCGTGCCCGATGGGTTGCCCGATCAACAGATGTGGAAGCCGCAAAAAAAGGTAGTGTCGACGCTTGATTATGATTGCAGGATCCCTTTGGGGCCCTGCAATCCTATTTAAGCGTCTACCTTTTCCACCTCGCTGAATGTTGCGAATTCCATTTCATCGCCCACTAATGTGATGACTCGCACGTTCCACAGTGTGTTCCAGAATTGTGCAGAGATTTCGACCTTTTTAACAATCGGCAAGTGATTTTGGAAATGAGTCTATAAATGTGACATAAACGAGAAAAAAAAAACTGAAAAGTGTCTGCCCCGTTTTACCTGAAGCATTTAATTGTGAGGAATTCGTTTTGTTTTTATATTATAGGGAAGTAAAGCGCTATAGGATTGCGACATTATAACGACTGACAAAAACCGATTATGCAGCATCCACCGTTCCATCTCATTAACCGCGCAATTACCAGGATCCGCAAGAAGCCCGACTTACAGCTAGGCCGCTTTTCAATCGGGTCATTACCCCGCCATCGAATAATTTCCGAGGTACGTTCGGCTCAAATAGGAGTGTTAAAAACTTTATTTCTTTTCTTGTTTCAATTTTATTTCAATTTTATTTCTTTATCTGTGCCGTTTTTTTCGGCTCGTTTGCCTCAAACGCGGGAGTGCAGAGAGTCAATTCTCGATAATACGGATCCCGTTAATATGGACGCCCCACTATATGCAGGGTGTCCCAATCGAACCCTTCCGATGTAAAACGAGCCGGAAAAAATCGGCGTGTGCACATAAAAAGCTCGAATTTTCGCCGAATATGCACTGAGCAGGTCAGTTTTACCGTGTGAAATTTGAAGGCGCAGTTATCTTTCTGTAAAAGAATTAGAGCAAATAACTTGCTAAAATCGAGGTTAGGCACGTTAGCAGAGGACCGAGTTAGCGACGCTGTTTACTTGCGCCGCCATCTCCCGATAGGCGCAGCCAGCAGAGAACAGAGTGGGTCGTCTGTTCGCTGAGCCTATTGAGAGATGGCGCCACAAGTAAATAGTGTCGTTAACTCAGTCGTCTGCGAACGCGCCAGCCGTTGACTATAACAAACTTTTTTTCTCTCATATTTTTCTTTTTTTTTTACATGAAGAGAATTGCGTTTTGAAATTTGATACGGTAAAACTGACCTGCACAGTGCACATTCGGTGAAGGTTTCAGCTTGCTGTGTGCAGGCCCTGATTTTTGCGGCTTATTATACAGTGAAAGGTCCGCTGGACACATTATATATACATCATTTTCGGGGACAGACTAGGTAAAGGTGAATGTAAAATGCCCCCCCCCCCCCCCCCCCCCCCCCAAGAAAAAAAAAATTGTACACCTCTCTTTTTTTTTGCCGAAAAGTAAATTACGTTTCGTTGAAAGCTCAGTTTCCACCCAGATATAGTGCTAGCAGTTCGAACAAGATGCCAAAGTTTCAAAACTAAACGTTATCTCTGTCAAAAGCTATTGGTCATTTTCTTAAAGATTTCAATGGAAAAATGAATCTAAAAAAACTCAAAAACGCCAAAAAAAAAAAAAATAAACTGAGGACGAAGAGACGCCCACAACAACACGGACTGGCGCCAACATCACGAAGAACCAATTTGCCCAATCCAAAGTCTTAATTCAGGCAAAACGAGGCCCATTTTCGTCCGTTTTCGGTAACTGGCGCCGCTGAGCTGCACTGCATTATAAGAGGTCCATCAGCCGCCATTTTCCCGTTGAAAATTTCAGCAAATCGGTTATAGCCTTTGAATAAGATGACTGTTGGTTCTGAAACTTTGGCAACTGGTTAGGACCATTAGGGCTTCATTTGCGAGGTGAACGAGCGTTCGGTAATGCGTAGTTTACTTATGCAATAAAAAAAAGACCATTTGTTCTTTTTGGGGACACGCTACTTTTGTTTTATTATTTTAGACTACCGACATTATCGACGCTTTTTTTATATTGGGGGGGGGGGGGGGGGATGGGGTGTGGAAAGGAGGCATGTAGATTAACGAGACATCACTCTATCTACGTTTAACGTTCCCGCTACCTCTACCCCTTCCTTTCCGTGGTTTCTATCCTGGGTTTGGAAATGATGATCGTTCTCCTTCCGGCGACGGTTCGTTAGGGACACTTCCGTCTCCAAAGACGTGCCCAAATCTCCTTCCTGGGCGGCATACAAAACTTGAAAAGAAATCCGGGTTAAGAGACAAATCGGAATACGACCGCGAGCATTTGGAAACAGACTCGGCTTTGACAAGCGAGAAATGCAACAAAAAAAAAAAAAGAAAAAGAAAGTTAGAGCTTCGGGCTTCAATCCCACGTTGCTTCTAAGGCTAATGGGGACAGCGAACGGGAGGAAAGGTCCACGGTTTGATCGTTATGCTGCACGAGGATGGGCGACTGATGGCTTGTTCGCTCAGGCTAAGCTTAGAGTAGTCTTTTGTTCTATATACCTAATTACTGTTGTTTATATAGATAGAGTCATAGACTATTCTAATCAAGCCCTTCTGCACGCAGCCATCTTTGTCTGTCTCAGAATATAAAGTGCCAAAAACGAGAGGAGAAAGAGGTGAGTAAGCAAGACGAGGCGCACTCGCAACTAAAGTTTATTTATGAAAAAACACAATATATAGGCAGTTAGAAACGCCTATTCATCACATCAATCGACAAGATCCCTCGATAAATTCAAACTCTTTCCCTGAGAGGGCAAGGGAAGGTTCACTAACGCATTTGTCTCCCTTTGCCCTAATCTCAAACGCCTCGTGCACTTTTCGCCATATTTGTTTTTTCGCCTGAACTTTTACATCATGCAGAACTGACGAGCACGGGCATCGACTACAATGAACAGCGAGATTACCAGACGGGCTCGCTCTCATAGCTGCCGCATGTTCCCGTGCACGATCATTGCAGTCTGGCCGATGTATATGGAGCCGCAAGTCAGCGGTATTTCGTACACCACTCCGACGGCACACTCAGCATATTTGCTCCGGTGTTTTATGCTGCAATGCTCCATATCAAGGCTGGGGATTATTGATTTCGCGGCACAAGCGTGCCATATTTTCCGGGGTACTACGGGTACTCTAAACCGCTGGGCAACTTTCTTTAAATTATGGGACATGGCAAGCAAGTACGGCATAA